TTTGCGCAAACTTTAAATTTTTAAAACCCCAATTTGGTTTATTTTGCCTCTTTTTAAAAAACCCCAAAACTTTGTTTTTTAAAAAAGAGGAATTTTTTCTTTAAAAGGGGTTTCTAGGAAATTTTCCGCTTTTTTTTAATCTTTTTTTTCAAAAGAAGAAAAAAACCCCAAGGGGTTTTTTTTTTTGTTTCCAAAAAAGGGAAATTTCAAAAAATTTTAAAAAAAAAAAAAAAAAATTTTTAAAAAAAAATTTCGGGGGCTTTTTTTTTTTTTTTTTTTCTTTTTTTTTATATAAAATTTATATTAAAAATATTATTCTATAAATAAAATCCTTGATTTAAGATTTAATTGGTTAAAAAAAATGGTTATTTTCTTTTATTTTTATTTGTAGTTTCATTATTTTCAAAATATTAAATTGATATTGGTTAACTGCATTTTTTGTTTTTTTTTTTGCCCCATGCACAAAAATATGTTTTTCCATTTTAGAAAATATAAAAACATTATCCATACTTTTTTATAAAGAAAATCAAATTAGTAATTTATATATTTCCACATTTGCACAAACCAGCTACTTCACCTAAAAAAATTAAATTAAAAAATTCAAAATTAAATTTTTAATATTTTAAATTATAACCACCACCCCCAGTTTTTCCCAATATATGCTTGTATACTAAATTTCTTTTCATTTTTTTTTTTTTGAAATAAACAGATACTCAATATAATTGGTTAAAAAAAAAAGAAATTTTCAAATTATTGGAATCTATTAGTTTTTTTTTTTCCAAAATAATATTTTTGGAGATTATATTGAAATTCTTTCTACCCATTAAATATTTCAAAAATTTTATTATAACAGATCATCCATCATGATGAAAAGTTTTTTTAATATTTATTATTTTTTTTTTGTTTTATTTTATTTTATTTTATTTTATTTTTTATTATTTTTTATTATTTTTTTTTTTTTTAAAAAAAAAAAACTTAAATTTAAAATAAAAATTGTCATTATATTTTATTTTAATTTATTAAAGAAAAAAAGAAGAAATGAAATTATTAGTTTTACTTTCAGCCTTATTATTGTTAATTTTAACCAATAATGTTGCTTTATCAGAGAGCGATATTGATTGTTCATTAGTCAGATGTGCAATGCCAACTTGTCCACCACACCAAGCACCAGTTAGAATACCAGGTGGAGGATGCTGTGGCTACAAATGTTCACCAAAAGGATGCGAAAACACTGCATGTACATTACAAATTAAATACTGCAAAGTTGGTGAAAATCCAAGTGGTAAGTATAATAACAATATTATATTATTGTTTATTAAATATTTTATATTTATTTAAAATTTTTTATTAATATAAAAAAAATTTAAAGGTTGTTGTCCATGTACCTGCAGGGAAAACACAATTTGCCCAGCTATTTTCCGTTATTGTAGCCCAGGCGAAAAACCAACTGATACATGCTGTGGATGTGAAGTCAAGGATCCATGTGAAGGAGTTCCATGTCCAAAAATTTTACGTTATTGCAAACCAGGAGAAAAACCAGAAGGTAGTTATTTTTTTTATTTATTTATATTATTTTAATATAAATACTAATAATTTTATACAATAAACTTTTTAGGTTGTTGCCCATGCACCGTTCGTAAAGATCCATGTGATGGTAAAATTTGTACTATGGAGATTAGATATTGTAAACCAGGTGAAAAACCAACAGACACTTGTTGTGGATGTACTGTTCCAAAAACTGCTTAAAACTCATTTAAAATCTATTTTTAAATTAACTTTAAATAAAATAAATCATGATAGTTTTAAAGAAATTGTCACAACCCCTCCAAAATTTTTTTTTTTATTTTTTTTTAAAATTTAATTTTTTTTCATTTTTTATTTTTTTTTCCAATCATTAATTAAAACTATATAAAATGACCCCAAATAATGATGACAGTATAAATGTTAAAACAATAAAATTTTCGAATGAATACCCAAGCAATAAATATAAATTTTTAGAAGCAAATCAAGAAATTTTGGACGAGTTAAAAAAAAATAAAAAGTCGGTACAATTATCATATACTTAAAATTTTATTTTATCATTGTTTCTTACATTAAATCATTTCAATAGATTGGTTATTAAAGGAGGTTTAAATGAGGATGCAGTTTTATGTACCGAGGATAAAACCTTTGCAATTAGAGCAGGACATACATCAAACTCAATGTTATTAATTACCAAAGATAATGAAAATATAGTATCAACACTACAATATCATTTAGAGTTAACAGAAATCCAACCAAAATTAAATCCTTTAAGGGATTTGTTTTTAGAAAGATCAATTAAAACATCAGATGATTTAGATAATAATATTCAAGATGCCGATGAGGATGATGAAAATGGTGAAAATAATAAAAAAAGAATCATTGGTTTAACATATAAAGAAATAATTAATAATACACAATCAAGCGAAAAAGAAATTCAACAATTTTTACAAAAATTAAATACATTATGTTATAATGGTAAATAAAAATAATAATAATTACTAAATTATATTAATCCTATAACTAATACACTTTTTTTTTTTTTTTTTTTATTTTATAAAGATAAATATTTTATATTTTCAGAATCATACGAATTTAAAATTTTAGAATTGATTTTAACAGAAATAACAATTAATAATTGGAGTTTAGAAAATATACCAATCGAAAAATGTAAAGATAATATTAATGCACCAAAAGCTATTATAGAACATTGTTTAAAATTATACAGAAAACCACAAGAAAATGCCAATGATGAAGGAGGTTCTTGTTCATTGGATTTAAATAAAATTTGTATTTTTAGAGCTAAGCAAATACTAAATGTATCAATAAAAAGTAATATGAGGTTTGAAGAGTTTATGGAGACATGGAAAGACTCGCTACCGGTTAATGTTACACCAAACTTTTCAATGCTAAAGGGTATTGCAATTCTTATCACCGTGGGTAAAGATAAGCAAGTTAAATATATCAACGAATCAACATTATCATCGAATCCAAAACAAAGATTTAAAGAGTTATTTACAATTTCTGCCAGATGGACAATTGATGATATCGAACCATTTATCAGATCAACAATACCTCCAGGAAACTCTTTAGAGCAATTTATTTTAACTTATTCAAGACCAATTACAACTCCAACTGGCGAAAGAATGCTTGCAACAAGATTTTAATCAAAATTCTAATTTATAAATAAAATAAATAAAAAGAGTCTTATAAAAAAAAAAAAAGTTTTATAAATAAAAAATAAAAAAATGCAAATAATAATTTTTCTTTTTGATTAAATACTTTGTTTTAATGAAGTACTTCTTCTTTTTTATTTCTTTCATATTCCATAAAAGTTTTAATAATTTCGTTGGAAGCTAGTGATGGTGAAATGATGCCATCTCTAACTTGAGTCTCAAAATATGGTATTAATTTTTGAACCTCTTCATTGTTTAATAACATCATTGATAACTCTTCTTCGATTAGTTTCTTCATAAATAGTTCTTTTTGTTCAGCTCTTTTTCTTGTGAAATCGCCTGTTTCCATCATTACCTTCTTAAAGTTGAGCATTTCATTCCAAACATTATCGATATGTTCTTTGGTTACAGAGGAGCACGATAATACTCTTGGTATCCATTTTAAGTTCTTTGGTCTTTGAATTTTAAATGCCGAAAGATATTCAGAAACTGTGAATCTGGCCTTTGGTAATAGATCTCCATCAGCTTTGTTTACAACAACCAAATCAGCTAATTCTGAAATACCCTTCTTTAAACCTTGAAGTTCATCACCATTGGCTGGTGGAACAATAAGACAAAATACATCAACTAGGTGCTCAATTGAAACTTCAGATTGACCTACACCAACAGTTTCAACAATGATAATATTAAAACCAGCACTTTCGCATAAAACAATTGTATCTGATGTACCTTTAGTAATACCACCCAAAAAACCACGAGTTGCACTTGGTCTAACATATGCATTTGGATCGACTGATAGTTGTTGCATTCTAGTTTTATCTCCCATAATACTACCACCAGTTCTAATACTTGATGGATCAATTGCTAAAACTGCTACTTTGTTACCAAGTGATGTTAAATGTTTACCAAAAGATTCAATAAATGTACTTTTACCTGCTCCTGGTGGTCCTGTAATACCTATTCTATATGTTTTATTTTTATCTTCATTTTTTTCCTTTTGTTGTAAACTTTGTAAATATGAAATTATATACCTGCTTTGTTCTTGATGATCATCTCTAGTTGACTCCACTAAATAATTTATAAAAAATGATAATAAAAAAATCAATTAATACTAATATATCCAAGTGATATCACATATGTAATAATTACCTTTAGTTATTAATTTTGATAAATAAATTGTATTTTCACTTTTAATATTTTCTAATAATTTTTTATTGTCATCTGTTATTTTTTTATAAATATTTTCTGGTGAATAAAGACTCTTTACATCTTTATAATTCTTTAAAAAATTTCTACCTAAATTATCATATGAAGTATAGAATCTTTTAAAACCACTATTAAAAACTATTTTATTTATATTATTAATCATTGTTATTTATTGATTTACTTGATTAATATAAAATAATGTGAACTGCTCTGTTTTTTTTGGAAAATTAAAAAAATAAAAAATAAAAAAAAATAAAAAAAAAAAAAAAAAAATTAAATGAAAAAAACAAAATTTAAAAAAAAATACAAAAAAATATTTTATTTTAATTATATATATATTATTTGTTTATTTATTTATATTTATATTTTTTTAAAATTATTTATGTGAAAATATTTGTTATGTAATTGATTTAGTTTAATTAAATTAAATATTTTTTTTTAATTAATTTATTATACAGGAAAAAGATGGAAAAAGAGAAAAGAAAATTATTTATTATTAATATAAACTGTCATTTTTATGGTTTATATAAATCCGTAAATGATTTGATTGAATGTCGAAAAGCAATCAACGAAATAAGAAATCATTTGTCCTAAAAAAAAAAAAAAATTAAAATAAAATAAAATAAAATTAATTTTTTTTAAAATTTTTTTATTTTTTTTTTTAAATTTACATATACTTTTTTTTTTTTCCTATATTTTAAATCTACCTCTTTTTTATATTTTTTCTTTTTTTTTTATATAAATAAAAGATTAAAACAATAATCATATAATATTTTTTAATTTTTTTTTTTTCAATCTATTTATATATTTAAAAAAAAAAAAATATAATAAAATAAAAAAATTTAAAAAAAAAGTATATACTTTTTTTTTAAATTTTTTAAATCATACAAAGAAAAGATGAAGTTTGGTAAAAAATTAAGATTTGAGTGCGTTTCCGAATGGACTAACAAGTATATTGCCTATGGAAAGCTAAAGAAGTATTTAAGATATCTTTATAGGACCGAGTTCGAAAGTATAGGTCAAGCCGAAGAACAACATTTATTAATCAATGGGTTTCCTTCATTAGCCTCAACGGATGTAGTATCATCAAATAACCAAAGCAAAGAAGATAGCACTAGCATTAATGTTGTTAGTACTGATAAATCTATAAATAATGATAACAGTAGCAATAATAATGATAACAATAAAAATAACAATAACTATAGCAATAGCAATAACAATAACAATAACAATAACAATAACAATAACAATAACAATAACAATAACAATAATAATAATAATAATAATAATAATAATAATAATAATAATAATAATAATAATAATAATAATAATAATAATAACACAACTACTACTCCTCCACCCTCAATACAAAAAGAAAAAGAAAAGCCAAAATCACCAACATTAGAACATAAAATTATAAGAGAAGAAGATGAGGATAGTGACTATAGCGATGAAAGATCAAATACATCAAATGAAAAAACTCCTTTAATGGCAACAATAGATTTTGAACAACAAACCAAAAAGAGAAGATCCGAATCATTAGCATCAGTATCACCAAAATCATTTTCATTCGATTTACATAGACATCCATTGACCCAAGCCGATAGAGAAAGATTATTTTTATCTAAAATCGATGAAGAAGTTAAAAAGATCAATGATTTTTTCAACATCAAGGAAAAAGATATTATTTTACATTATAACAAATTAACTGAACATTGCTCACTTATTCTCAAAGATCGTAACCCAAGTCCAAAAGTTTTAAAGAACATTCAAAAAGCATTTGCTGAACTCTATAAAAGCTTAACAATGTTAGAAAATTTTGTCACATTAAACTATCAAGGCTTTGAAAAAATCTTAAAGAAATATGATAGATTAGCACCCTCAGATGCATCAATTAAAGCTGAACAAATGGTTAGAATTTCAAACGAAGTATTTTATTCATCAAAATCGTGGCGTAATATGAAAGAAGATGTTGAAGTATATATAACATTTATTATTCCTATTGTTATCATTAAAATATTTAAATACTAATTAATTTATTTAAAATTATAAATAAATAGTTGTTATATTGTAAAATTTTTAAAATTGATAAAATTTCAATTGCAAAGAAAAAGTTATCACCATTTTCAGAATCACAAACAGTAAATATACATATGTTAAAATTGGGATTTGCAATAGGTCTTAGTATTTCGATTGTAGCATTTATTATTATATTATTTACAAATCAAGACATTGGTGAGCCTGATTGGACTAAATTTTCAAGTACAATTCCAATTTTTAGAGCTGTAGGTTTACCAATTTTTGCAGTATGGCTTTGGGGCGCAAATGTATATGTTTGGGATCGTGCAAGAGTTAATTATATACTAATTTTTGGCTTGGACCCAAGAACAACACTGGATTATAGAAGGATTTGGAAAACAGCATCATTTTTAACTTCAATTTGGTTAATGACTTTTCTTTTGTTCTGTGGTACTATTAAAGGTAATTTCAAATTAGGTAATATACCGGCACAGGTCTATCCATTGGTATTGGTTGTATTCTTTTTAGGTGTTGTATTCTTCCCATTTAGATTTTTTCATCGTAAATCTAGATTACTCTTATTCATCACATTGGGCAATGTTATAATTACACCATTTGGTAGCACGAAATTCAGAGCATTATTTTTGGGTGATGTTTTAACATCGATGGTTAAAACTATTTTTGACTGGGAATATACAGCATGCTATTTCTTTAGTGGTGATTGGTTAATCAACGATAGTACAAGATGTAATGAGGTCAATAGTATAGCCTTACCAATTTTATCGGGCCTTCCTCTTCTTTGGCGTTTCATGCAATGTATTTTACGTTACAACGAAACTAAAAATAGAATCCATTTAGGTAACAGCACAAAGTATGCAGTTGGTTTCAGTGTAGTTTTATTCTCTGCTCTTAATGGTAACTATCAATCCTACGAACCATGGAGTGCTAAAAGAATACTTTGGTGTGTTTGCTTTGTTCTCTCAACCCTATACATGTATTGTTGGGATGTTGTAGTAGATTGGGGATTTTTATGGCTAGGTAAACCAAGACCATTGCTCAGACATCAACTTATGTATAAGAAACATCTCTGGTGCTATTATTATGTATTGTTCTCTAATTTAGTGCTTCGTTTTGCTTGGACTCTAACCATTACGAAAATTCCATTCGAATTACCAATTAATTCAGAACTCTTTACCTCTGTTATCACATGTGTCGAATTAATAAGACGTTTCACTTGGAGTATTTTCCGTGTTGAAAACGAACACATCTGTAATTCAATTCAATATCATGCATTTGATTTTAGCGAAGCACCATGGAAAAATGAAATTCCAAAAGTAAATTTAAATAATAGTTTATTACCAATCTCTAGAAGTCCTTATGAATTTAATCATGGTAGTGGCAGTGGTGTTGCTACTGGTTCACCAAGTGGTAGTAATAATTTTAGCAGTGCAAATAGTTATGACAATCAATATAGTATTTGGAAAAAATCTTCAAAACAATATTATTCAAATAGTATTTTAGATCAATTAAAAAAGAAATTTTTTAATAATAATAAAAAATAAAAAAAAAAGAAAGCAATATTAATAATAAATAATAACAATAATAGTATAAAATAATAACAATAATTAATAATATTTAAATAAAATTAAAGAGTTTAATTTTTTATTTAATATTATAAAAAAATAAAATTTTTTTGGCTCAATTTTTAAATTCGGTCCAAAAAAAAAAAAAATATCCATTTGATCAATATAAACTGTGATTTTATAACTTTAGCCCATGGGTTGAATTATTTTGATTTTTTTTTTTTTGGATGTAAAATAAACATCAAAAAGTATGAATTTTATAATTGATTATGTTTACACACATAATTGATTTTATATATTAATTAATTTTGTGTTTGGATAAATAGAATTAAGAAAAAATATTCAAATTAAAAATTTATTTGAAAAAATATTTTAGTAATTGTGGTGTGTGGGTTAAAATTATTTTTTTATGATATAAATAAATTAAATATTGTATTTGTTTTTTTTTTTTAAAAAAACAGTTAACTCAAATAAAATATTTTGTGTGATATCAAAAATAAAGAAAATAAACCCAAAATAATTTTTTTTTTTTTTTTTTAAAAATATTTTTTATTTTTATTTTTTAAATTTTTTTGTAATTTTTTTTTTTTTTTTTTTTTTTGATTTATTTTAAAAAGCATATAAAACATTTTTAAACTTCGTTTATATATATAAATAAATCTTTTTGTACAATATAAATAATAAAATTAATTTCTAATTTTAATTTTTATTTTTATTTTTATTTTTTTTTTCTCAAATAAAAAAAAAATTAAATAAAAAAAATAAATAGAAATCTATTTCATTACCATCATATTTTATATATAGCTTTGTTTTTATAATTTTTATTTTTTTTCTTTTTTATTTATTTATTTATTTATTTATTTATTTATTTATTTATTTATTTATTATTGCTTATTCCTTCTTTAGTTATAATAGTATAATAATAATAAATTATTATTTAAAATAATAAAGAAATGGGAGGAAATTTATCATCAGAATTAAAATCAAGTAAATATAAGAAGAGAGAAATTGTCGATCTTAGAAAGATGAACATCGATAAATTACCACCAACTGTTGGAGCACTTCAATGTAAAGAGTTATTATTATCAGAAAATGATCTTATTACAATTCCAGAGGAAATTGGTAAACTTTCCAAAGTAGAAATTATTGATTTCTCAAAGAATCGTATCAATTACATCCCACCAGAAATTGGTTCACTTTCAACCTTAAAGCAATTATTCCTTTCAAATAATAAACTTTTCTATACCCCATTAACACCAAATCTTGGTTCATTAAAGAGTCTTACCAGGTTAGATCTTTCTGCCAATCAATTAGATGATCTCCCAGTCGAATTATCCAAATTAGAAGCTTTAGAATACTTAGATATCTCTGATAATCAATTACAATCATTCCCATTAGAGTTTGGTAAGCTCTATAACCTTCAAGTATTCAATTGCAGCAAGAATTCACTCAAGAGTTTACCAGGTGAAATTTCAGGTTGGGTTAAATTACAAGAACTTAATGTTAGCAACAATCAATTAACTTTCCTTCCAAATCAAATTTGTTTACTTGGTCTCTTATCAACTTTAAATGTTGGTTTCAATAAGCTTCAACAAGTACCAGAAGAGCTCTCATCTATGGTTTCACTCACTGATCTTGATCTTAAAGTTAACCCACCACTTCAATACGTACCACAGCTTTCAAATCTCCGTCAGTTAAAGAAACTTTCCATTAGAAATCTTCAAATTACCCATCTTCCATTAGGTTTAGGTTTATTATCTGAATTAATCGAACTCGATATCAGAGACAATCCACAACTTAAAGAAATCCCATATGATATTGCTACTCTTATCAATCTTCAAAAACTCGACCTTTTCGGTAACAATATGAGAATTGTCCCAAGAGAAATCGGTAACTTAATTAACCTTCAACATTTAGATCTTCGTCAAAATAAATTAACCATCGATAATATTCCATCTGAAATTGGTAAACTTGTAAACTTAAAGAAATTATTATTATCAAACAATTTATTAGTTGCTTTACCACCAGAAATTTCATCAATGAAGGCATTAAAAGTAAGACTTACCCTTATTAAATTATTTAAAAATATCATATTAATTTTTTATTTTTTATTTAGGAATTCGAAGCTTCTAATAATCAACTTCAATCTGTCCCAGCCGAAATTGGTGAATTAACAGGTTTAACAAAAATTAATTTATCAGGTAATAAACTTACTAGTATTCCACCATCATTCGGTAACTTAAGTGAATTAGTTATTTGTGACTTAAAGAGTAATGAAATTGCTGAATTACCAAACACATTAAATGGTCTCAAGGCTTGCACCAAATTCGATCTTTCACATAATATGTTAACAGAGTTACCATGGGAATTTGGTGACTTAACCGGTTTAACTATTCTCGATGTTGGCCACAATCCACTTACTATCCCACCAAATCCAATCGTTATGAAAGGAACAGAAACTATTATTCAATGGTTAAAGAAGAATGAAAAAGAGGGTCGTAAAGGTAAAGTTTCAGGTTTAGGTATTCAAGGAGGTGATAACTAAAAAAAAAAAAAAAAAAAAAAAAAAGAAACAAAAAAAAAAATAAATTAATAAATATTTTCTTTAAAAAACTATAATTATCTTTATTTATACATTTTAATAAGACTATAACCAATTTTTGTAAAATAATTTAGAATATATATTAAAATAGTTTTATTGATTTTTTATTTATTTTGTTTAAAAATACATCTTTTTTCACTTTTTTTTTTTAAATAATTTTAAAGTACAATATATTTGATTTTTTTATTTTTAATGACCTAATCTCTTCATAGTTTTATAAAATTCTGCGAGATAACAAACATTGCTTTGTCTGTCGACGAATGGTAATTGGGCTAAATCATCAGCATCGATAAATGCTGGAACACCGAGATGATCTTCAGCTAATTTGAAGGCTTGCTTATAATTTGCATGTTTATCTTTATTTGTTACAGCACTGAAATCAAGTAAACTTGGTTTGAATCTATGAACCAAAGCTAAATAAGCGACACCATCAGTCCATGAGGTTGTAAAGTTTGTAATTTCGACACCTTTATAGCCCTGGGTTGAATCTTTACACCATTGTAATAGTGCATCTAAACCTTTTTGGCTTGCATCTTTTTGGCTGGAGGCTCTCTTGAGTGTTGGTGGTGTAGATGGGGCAGGTTTATTAACAATACTATTAACACCTGTAAATGTATTTGATGAATATGATCTTGTTGCGGTTGGTTTTAATACTACTGGAGATGGTGATGGAGATGGTGATGGTGGATTAGATGATTTATTGGTAGTAGTTGAACTTGTTGTTGGTTTGAGATTAACTTGAATTGGTGAAGTATTAGTGGTAGTAGTGGAAGCAGATGGTTTAGCAGCAGATTTTAATTTAACAGAAGTTGGGTCAAATTTTGGCATCATCATACCTGGTAGTCCAACACCAATTGGAGCTTTTTTAACTGGGGCTGGTCTTTCTTGTTCATCTTGATCATTTGGTGGTGTTGTATCATCATCTGGAATAATTGTAGTTGATGGTTTTAATTCTTTAAGATTTGGAATATTTTGCTTCTTTCTTTTACCATCTTTAGTAACTTCTCTTCTTGTTGGTTTCTTTCTACCTTTAACTTTTGTTCTACCAAGTGTTAAATGAACAAGTTCTTTATGATCTTTTGATGGAGTATTATCTGAAAAATCTACTGCTGAGGTTAATTTGATTTCTTTTTCTTTTAATTCTTTATCTAAACGTTCTTTATCTTTACGAACGATTTCAGCTTTTTCTTTTGCATCTTTTTCTAATCTTTCTTTATCTAGTTTCTCTTTTTCTAATTTTTCCTTTTCTAATCTTTCTTTTTCAACACGTTCCTTTTCAGCACGCTCTTTTTCAGCAAGTTCTTTAGCCAATCTTTCTTTTTCTAATTTTTCTTTTTCGGCACGTTCCTTTTCAGCACGTTCCTTTTCTAATCTTTCTTTTTCTAATCTTTCCTTTTCTAATTTTTCTTTTTCGGCACGGTCTCTTTCTAATCTTTCTTTTTCTTGCTTTTCTTTTTCCAATCTTTCCTTTTCAATTCGTTCTTTTTCTTGCTTTTCTTTTTCAACACGTTCCTTTTCTAATCTTTCTTTTTCTAATCTTTCCTTTTCAATACGTTCTTTTTCTGCTTTTTCTTTAGCTTCCTTTTGTAATCTTTCTTTTTCAATAC